GTCCAGCTCCCACCTCTCAGTGTCTGAACCTCAGGAAAACATTCCAGAAGAGGTTTTGTTCTTGTGTCTAGTTTATTTTTATCATCTGTGTTCTTAGCACTCTTTTCTTCCATTTCTAGGGAGATATAAGCCCTTGAAATGCTAATTCTATCACAAAAGGTGGGAAAAAGAGGGTTTGATTGCTCTAAAATGCCCTACAGGCTGAAGCATCTTTCTAGTTTCACAATTGAGAATTTCTTTTTTTTTTATTTTTTAAATTTATTTATTTATTAAGGATTTCTGCCTCGTCCCCACAACCGCTTCCCATTTCCCTCCCCCTCCCCCGATCAAGTCCCCCTCCCTCATCTGCTCGAAGAGCAATCAGGGTTCCCTGACCTGTGGGAAGCCCAAGGACTGCCCACCTCTATCCAGGTCTCGTAAGGTGAGCATTCAAACTGCCTAGGCTCCCACAAAGCCAGTACGTGCAGTAGGATGCTACAGTATTGAAAACAGCTTGGTATTGGCATAAAAACAGAGAAGTCGACCAATGGAATCGAATAGAAGACCCTGACATTAACCCACAAACCTATGAACACCTGATCTTCGATAAAGGAGCTAAAAGTATACAATGGAAAAAAGAGAGCATCTTCAACAAATGGTGCTGGCAAAACTGGATGTCAATCTATAGAAGAATGAAAATAGATCCATATCTATCACCATGCACAAAACTCAAGTCCAAATGGATTAAAGACCTAAATATCAGTCCGAACACACTGAACCTGATAGAAGAGAAAGTGGGAAGTACCCTACAACAGATGGGCACAGGAGATCGCTTCCTATGTATAACCCCAGCAGCACAGACACTAAGGGCATCATTGAATAAATGGGACTTCCTGAGGCTGAGAAGCTTCTGTAAAGCAAAGGACACTGTCACTAAGACAAAAAGACAACCCACTGACTGGGAGAAGATCTTCACCAACCCTGCAACTGACAAAGGTTTGATCTCCAAAATATATAAAGAACTCAAGAAACTAGACCGTAAAAGGCTAATCAACCCAATTATAAAATGGGGCACTGAACTGAACAGAATATTCTCAACAGAAGAACTTCAAATGGCCAAAAGACACTTAAGGTCATGCTCAACTTCCTTAGCGATCAGGGAAATGCAAATCAAGACAACTTTAAGATACCACCTTACACCTGTCAGAATGGCTAAAATAAAAAACACAATTGAGAATTTCTCCTGTGCCGGCTTCCTGTTCCCCAGTGACTTCCGTGTTGCCTTGCAGGCAAACGTTACGTCTCCTCCCCAGCAGCCCAGATCTCAGGCTTCTGGCTCCCCGCACCTGCCACATCTCCAGGCCTGTTTCCTCCCTCACTGAGAACAGGAAGCCTTTAGGAAACCTCTGCCCCCAGAGGTAAAGCAGACTAACGAGAATAAAGGAAAATCACCTACCATCTGTTAGATGTCTGCCAGCTGCCCCGTGCCCTCTCACTCTTCCCTGTAAAAGACCTACATGGTGTTGCCCAAAGCCCACTGATTCCGTTCTCTCTTAAACAAAGCAGCCCTGTGGGGTTTTTTTATTTCCAATAGCCTAATGGGTCTTTACAACAGTGTACTAGTAATGTTCGGTTGTTTGTCTCATCTTGGAAGAACAAACAAACAGTCTCTTGACCCTTTATCTAGACTCACTCCCCCACTCTTACTCTGACCCACCTTTAAGTCAGAACTCTTGGGACAAGTTGTCACCCTGCCTGTCCTTCCCACCCCCTTAAACCCTCCACAGCCAGACCTTTACACCATACACCAAAATTCCCTTTGTCAAGATTCGAATGGTAATCATGTTGCTAACCTGAGTTGTCAGTTTTCTTTTTCTTTTTTAATTGTTATTTATGCACACAGGTGTTTTGTCTGCATGGATTCTATGCAGCTGCCCTCGGAGCCCCTGAGTTATCCACGTGGGTACTGGACATTGAACCCAGGGCCTCTAGAAGAGCAGCCGATGTTTTTAGCCATCGAGTCATCTCTCCAGTCCCCAGCTGTTAATTTTTAATCTTCGTCTTATTTGGCCTGTCAGTAACTGACACTAAGGCCCCTTGAAACACTTTCTTGATGTGGTTCATTGTAGACATCTTGTTTTTTTTTTCCCTGCTTTTGTAACTTCTCTCTGAACTTGGCTTGTTGCTAAGCTTTGGGGGTCAACTTTGACCTCTTTGTTGTGCGTGGACTACTGGACTTGAGCAAGAGTTTAGAGGCTAAGACCATCTGTACTGGTATATCCAGCATTCACCCTTGCACCTTGACCTCTCTCCTGAAGTTTGGATTTGTACATGCTCTTCTTTCTCCTCACCACCTATACTTGACTGTTTAATAGGCATTTCATGGTTACTATTCCAGATCTGAATTTTGCATCATTCTGTCTATCACTAAACTCATTTTGCCCTTTTTACTGTTGGAGCTAATGGAAGCTGTACAATTTCTGTTACACAAGTCAAAAGCCTTAACTTTTCTTCATCTCTCCTTTCTTGGACCCTTCTTTCTGCCTCACTCCCTTTGAATAGATTATCCTCATCTCTTGCTCTGATGATAGTCTCCAGCTCACCATACTTTATACGTAGCCTTTTACAATCCAGTCTTTTTGTTTGTTTTCTGGTTGATGTATAATGTACATTTTAAATGGGGTTCATCCAGAGAAGCTGTTCTTGTCTGATACTCAGCTCCAATAGGAATAGTCTCACGCAATGCTTCAATTAATCATAAAACCTGTTAAACATCCAACAGTGCCATAGTCTCTACTGAGTTCCTGAGATAATGGATAGGACACATCCTTGGTCAATTGTTGGTCAGAAAAGCCTCCGAGGTGCTGGAGAGATGGCTAGGAGGTCAAGAGTTGTTATGGCTCTTGTAGAGGAACTGGGTTTTACTCGCAGCACCCGTGTCAAGTGGCTCATAACTACATGAAACTCCACCTCTGTGGGATGAGACATCCTCTTCTGGTTTCTGCAGGCACTCACACTCAAGTGCACGTACCCCTCCCTACAGAGATATATGCATATATACAAAAAATAAAAGGCCTGGGGTACCACATGAGAAAACTAGTGATGAAAACCAACCCTGAGGCAGAAACACTGAATGTTCATCAGCTGGTATGCAGAGAAAAAAAGTGGCGCTTCTGTACAAGACAGTGTTACACAGCCATAGAAAACAATTAAGTACTCAATATTTGCTACAACCTGGATGAACCTTAAATAAGCCAAGTGAAAGGCCAATCACGAAGTACCTTATACTGTGTGATTCAATGTCTGTGAACTATCTAGAATGCACCAGAGAGATGGCTCAGTGTTTAAGAGCTCAGCTGCTCTTCCAGAAGACACAGGTTCAAGTCCTAGCATGCACATAGTTCACAGCCAACTGTAACTCTAGTTCCAGGGAATATGACACTTTCTTCTGGCCCCTGTGGACATCAGGCATGCATGTGATACAGACATACGCAGGCAAAATACACATACATATAAAATAAAAATAAAACATAGTTTTAAAAAATATCTGTGCTCCATAGAACCAAAGGCATAAGGCAGAGAGTGTAGGTGCCTTATATCTTTGGGTGGTAATGTAGGTAATGGAAGAGGCCATGCGGAGTGACCGCTAATGGGCTCAAGACTTCTCTTCTGGTTGTGGTGATGGCTGTACAATTCTGAATACATTAAATGGTGCTGAATTGTGTGCTTGAATGGATGACTGTATAGTATTTGTGCTGGTTATGTTTCACCATTGTGAAACATGCTGGAGTCATCTGAGAAGAGGGAACCGCAAGTGAGAAAATGACTTCATCAGATTGACCTGTAGGCAACCCTGTGGGCTGTTTTCCTGATTCATGATTGGTGTGGCAGGGCCTAACCCACTGTGGGCATTGCTACCCCTGGACTGGTGATCCTGGGTTGTATAAGACCGCAGGCTGAACAAGCCAGTAAAGCCACACTCTTCCAAGATTCTGCTTCACTTCCTGCTGACTTCCCTTTATACAGACTATATCTGTAAGGTGAAACAAACCTTTCTCTCTCCGAGTTGGTTTTGGAGAGTGTATTTTCACAGCAATGGAAACCTAACTAGGACACTATATGACTCATATCTTAATAACAGAAAACCAAAACAAACCACAATTACCCTGCTGGAGGGAACACAGTGCCATGGCTGAGAAGTGAACAGAGGATATGTCAGAGACAAGGCTGAACGGACAGGTGAAATGACACTAGTTTCTAATGAGGGTAGCAAGTGATGTGGTTGCCCTGGCATTGTGATAACAGGGACTGAAGCTAGGGGATATGGGGAGAGTGGAGGTCAGATGGCCAGTGTCAGGACAGTGGTGGAGCCCTCGCAGGGAAGAAGACGCATGTGAACCATGTAGGAGCTGAAATACTTGAGAGCCTTTGAGTAGTGAGATCTGCTGTGGGGAGCAGAGCCAAGCATGAGGACATGACTCCCAGGAGTATTGTGTGGATAAAGGAGTCTGTGCCATTACCACCTGAGGTGGCCCACAGAGGCAGGGTTAGCAGGATGCTTTTAAAGAATTGGTCTGGGCACGCTGAAGTTAAATAAAGAAGCTGGGTCTTGCTTCATAGTTGGAAGAAATGGGCGGTATCCAAGCCTCCTACACTGACTGAGTCTGCACCACTAGCCTTCTGGTATTGCAAAGCAGTACAACATTTTATCACTTAACTACTAATGGGGAACCTTGGCTTTTGTCAAATCCAGCTTTGCCACATCTGCCAAGGAATCTTGGGAGAAAATGTACAAGTACATCTTCATTTGCTTAACAGGTGTACTGGGGTCAGAAGGAACCCTTCATTCTGTTGTGTTGAAGTCAGGGGGCATGGGAACCTGCTTTGTGCAATGAAATTCTGGAAAACGCACACCGTAGTGAGAAGGTTCCATTGCAGTGCTGTGGGTGATGTTAACTTTACTGACTTTACTGCACTCTAATATTTCTGATTTCTTGAATTCTTTTTTTTTTTTTTTACAGGTTACTTGTCTGCAAGACTTTTTTGGTGATGATGATGTTTTTATCGCATGTGGACCTGAAAAATACCGTTATGCCCAAGATGACTTTGTCCTGGATCATAGCGGTGAGGCAATTCATTGACCATCTCTGTAGCTCCTGAAAAGGCTCAGACTTTAGTGACAAACATGTTGAGGACATAGGAATACTGGAGAAAGATGACCCAGCATGGGTGGTGCTCATCTCTCATTCCAGCTCCTGAGGCCGGAGGATCACATGACTCTAGGAAGACTCTAGGCCAGCCTTGGCAACATAGTGAGACCTTCTCTCTGAAACATATGTTGAAGGATAATTAATAAACTGTCCATGACAATTATCTGAGATTTCTTTTTACATCAATTTTGTGTACAGCTTTAAAAAAATCATACATTGTTTATATATTTATAAAAATAACTTGGGTGGGATGAAAATGCCTGTTTGTTGACTAATCTATTAATAAGTTTTTAACTCTTTCAATGATTTCAAGTGATACTGGTATAGTAAATGATTATAAGATGGAAAAGGTAGCCGAAGATAATTTAGCCCTGGCTCTGCATCCTTCTAACTCTTACAGCAAATGAAGTTCTAATCAGTTAAGTCAGTCTTGTAGAATGGTCACCGTAAGTGGGACTAACCATAGCAATAACAATAAAACATGTTTAAGTGCTTACTACACATGCATTGGTAGGACAACTGTTGCTTTATGTGTAGTAAATTTATCAGAGCTAGTTGGATCGTTTGCTTTTTGTTGTTGATAATGGCCCTTGATAGCCTCTAAACACAGGGGTGGGGAGGGAGAGAGAACACTATTGACTTCCCCCCCTCTCAATTTCTAGTTATTTCACCTTCTTTAAAAATGGGAGTGATAATGGATGTTTTATAAGATTTTGTGAAGGTCAAGTGAATGAATATATATCTATAGCTAAGGATCCATGTGTGTCTTGCTATTTTTGTTGTTCTCCGTATTGTAGCACCATCATTACATGGTGAAGTGTTTACAGTGAGAGCCAATCTCAAATTGAATTCTACCACAAATACACTTATCAGGCACAAAGGTTTTTTTTGTTTTGTTTTAAACGTCAATCGTTTCATTGTGTTATCTTAAGAGCTCCATCTTAGGCTTCTGAAAGTATCACACATTAAAGAGGCATTAAAATGACAAAAATCAAAGGAAACATAAATTTGAAAACCTACTCCCTCCAAGCAAGAAGGAAGGAATGGAAGAAGGCCTGGTGTGGTGGTGGAGGATTTTAGTTCTAACACTTAGGAGGTAGATACAAGCCAAACTTTGTGAGTTGAGTTGAGGCCAGCGTGGTTTGCATAATGAGTTCTAGGGCAGCTAAGGCTACGTCTTTAAAAACAAAACATTCAGAATGCATAGAATTCTGCTAACCTAATTTTGATCAAGTCACAATTTCCCCCTAATTCTTTTTTTTCTATTTTTTTAATATTTATTTATTTATTTATTATGTATACAATATTCTGTCTGTGTGTATGCCTTCAGGCCAGAAGAGGGAACCAGACCTCATTACAGGTGGTTGTGAGCCACCATGTGGTTGCTGGGAATTGAACTCAGGACCTTTGGAAGAGCAGGACCTTTGGAAGAGCAGGCAATGCTCTTAACCTCTGAGCCATCTCTCCAGCGCGCCCCCCCCCCCCCCCAATTCTTAAAGCTGGATATGGCTCTGAAGTTCCTGGATATTGGGGTCTGTTTGGGGTAACAACCTCCACAGCACACTTTTAAGACACAATGGAACATAATCTACATTGCTAATGGCTTAGCAGAAACTGGAACTGCCCCATTTACATTAGCTTTGATTAGAGCCTTTCAGATGTTAACTAGGCTTCCCTGGTGATTATTCCCCTGATTTATACTTCACTTGTTAATTTGCCACCCTTAGGGACTAGATTAAAACTAACTCTCATTTTAATCTTTTTGCATAAATTGAAGTATTTTGAAGTAAATGATAGACAATATGTTTTCTGATTTATCCCTTATAACAAGCCTATGAAGCATATTTTATTCTTACACTAATATGTTAGGAAGAAATAGTGAGGCTTTGAACATAAGCAGGGTCTTCCTTCTAGCCGGCAAATGTCAAGCCATGACTCATCCCCAGTCTGCCTGACTGCAGAAACCTGTGGTCTTAATTACTCAAGAAGTGATGTTCGCAGCTGTAATTTGTTCTGTTCTCCAAATGCTGTCTTATTTGGTGGCTTATGGAAAGGTCAGTGTTATTGTTTAAAGCTATTTTTCTCATTTTTGCTCTTCCATGCTTTGGAGAGATGGGTAGCTAGATAGTAAAGAGACCATAAGTTAGTTTCTGTCCTTTTAAAGTAAGGATTTGAAGACGACGTTAAATTGCGGTCTATGCTGCCTGTGAAAGCTGCAAGCTGCCCGCAGATAGACGTGTGGTTTAACTGTGAATGATTCTATACATTCCCTTAGGACAATAGAGTTTCTGTGCTCATTAAGAACTTAGTCCAAACAATGACATGTCACAGATGTGTGGTCTAACTGGAGAGGTAAATATGACATGTACTTTTCGGAACTGCTGCTCCATACATTGAATTTAGGGAGCTCAGTGGCTGGCAGCTCACCAAGTCTGGCATTCAATTCACAGCACTAGAAAAATAAAAGGTAGAGTGGGAAAGAAAAGGTCAGGTAATAACTATGGGGCTGGAGAGATGCCTTGGTAAGGTGTTCAGTGTGTAAGTGCCCACCAGTTTACAGAATCCCTGAGTTCAGTGACAGCTTATCTCAATGTGGTGGAGAGTGATGAGGAAGGTGGCTGGCTTGACTTCTTGCATTCGTGTGATTGCACATACGCGCGCACACACACACACACGCACACACACACACACACACACACACACACACTAGTTTCAGGCAGCTAACCATAGCGCATGTGGTATGCCTTTGGTCATTGCTGAAATCTGCTTTACCTACAAATGCACTTTTGTTCTTTACAGAATGCCGCGTGCTGAAGTCATCTTATTCTCGAGTCTCAGCTGCTAAGCATTCTGGATCCAAAAGCCCAGGGCCCTCTCGCCGCAGCAAGTCACCAGCTTCAGGTAGTAACAGAAAAACTTAGAAGGGGGTGCTGTCTTTGGTTTTCCCACATTTTTACGAACTTAACAGCCTTTACCAGCTTGTGTGCAACCATGTTCTAGAACAATAATAGTAAGATGTTTTAAACAAAATTAGATCTGTCTTCAAAAGGCAAAAGTCTTTCAAAGAACTCTTGGACTTCGTTCTGACACATTTTCTTGTAGATAGCCTCACTGTCCAATCTTCCACTGATGTGTGCATAAATGTATTTCACATTCTGGGCACTGTATACTATATTTTGAATTCTCTGCTTCATAATTGTGGATATTTATCTTCCTAGAATTACTTCTTCCTGGTGCATCACACACACATACACACACAGTTCCATGCAAAAATTTTTCTCCTTGAAAACTTCCATAGTCTTTTTCTTCATCAAACAGTTGTAATAGCAGTAATGGTTATTCTCAGAAAGGATGACTTACTTAAGTTCTATAATTTTCAGATCCAAATCTTAAAAATTTTGTCAAAATTTACACTGTTCTGATATTTTTAACATTAAAAACACTAGTCAAATTATATCTCAGTAAGTTGGTTTGATGAATTGTTAGCTATTACAAATAATTTTGCTCATTTAATTTATTGTTAAGGAAATGATTTTAGAGAAGAAACATCTGTTTTTACAGACAGTATTCCTATTACTGCCCAGCCTGCTGCCCTTTGGAGTAAACTAAACTTTTTTTGAAACACAATGATGATTTGAGTGGTGAGTTATCGAAAGGTTTGAAATGTCAGACTGGGTCATTGTCTCTGCTGTTCCCACTGCAGCACCCGCCTCACTTCCTCTAGGGCAGGCTGTGTTACTGTCTTTTAGACCTGCTGAATAACCACTGTCCTTACTGTCTCCTCCTGCTCTGTGCATATGCGTGTGTACAGTAAAGAGGGCTGGCCACTCCAGTGCCTATTCTACAGCCAAATCCCCAGGTGAGCCAGGGTCCTTACAGCTTTGTCACTCCGCTGGGTTTTTGTTTCTGTCCTTTGCTGCATTTTTGTTTCCTTTGCTCCATTTCCATGAGTGTATCTGGTCTTCTCCTGTGGACATCTGTGCCATGTGCAATGTTTTACAGTGCACAGGCCACTTCAGCCTCTCTGCTGAACCATGTAACCTAAGAAGATTCCTAAATGCCTGTCTGTGTAGTCAAAGCACAGTGATCCAGGGGAAGGCAGCCACCTCCAGGATGTCTGTGTTCCAGTGAGCTGTAGAAAGTGTTACATGACTAGCCGGGCGATGGTGGCGCACGCCTTTAATCCCAGCACTCGGGAGGCAGAGGCAGGCAGATCTCTGTGAGTTCGAGACCAGCCTGGTCTACAAAGCGAGTTCCAGGACAGGCTCCAAAGCCACAGAGAAACCCTGTCTCAAAAAAAAAAAAAAAAGAAAGTGTTACATGACTGAAAAGCTAAAGTTTGTTAGCTGAGGCAGGCAGTGGTGGCATGCACCTCTAATCCCAGCACCCAGGAGGCAGAGACAGGCGGATCTCTGTGAATTCGAGGACAGCCTGGTGGTCTACAGAGTGTGTTCCAGAACACTGTTACATAGAGAAACCCTGTCTCAAAACAAAACAAGTTTGTTAGTAATAGAGATAATGGAAGGAATTCTAACCTCACACTTTGTTGATCCCTGTGTTAAAGGATTGGGAATCATTAAAATCTTCTACTTCAAAGTACTTTATGATGGCCTGTGCCAGACTAGGATAAAAAAGTGTTTTCTGTGCATAAAAAGAAGCAACCAACACTGCATCTTTTTAGTTGGGAAGCAATTGTTTTCATACAGCGTTCTACGCGCAGACTTTCTGCATAGGTGACAGTTGACACTGGGTTTTTTAACCAAAGGTTAAAATTGAACTTATTTAAATTGTATTGACTCTGTAGTGTCTTAAAAATGGAAAAGCTAATGGAACATTGATGTGTTTGGATATAGTTTTCTGGCACGGTGCTTCCTAGCTTTTGATTTCAGGTGACAGATTTATAGATGTTTGTCAGGAAAATTATTAAATAAAAGTAGAGAGAGTGGCTCAAGAGTCAGGTATGATTAACTTTGTCCCCTGAGATCTGAAGAGAAAATTTACTGAACATTTTGTGGCTACATTTGTCTTCAGACCATCTACTATTCTATAACAAAACTTAGTGAATACTTAAATGATGTGGGGTTTTTTTTTTTTTTATCTGAATTTGGATAGTGTCAGCCTCAGACTCCTCAGTGAAAGTTGTGAGACTTGAAAAAACACATCTCAGAAGCAAATGGTCTTTAGGCGAGGCCACTGGAAACATGCTTAGCACTTTAGAAAACTGAAAGCCCCTGCCGCTGTTGGCTGTCCACAGTGACTCTAAATTGTGCTGTGTTACCAGTAGTGTTTTCTCCTCATTCTCCAAAGGGCAGAGAGTACTGTTACAACCACACTATCAGAAGTGCTTGCTTGTACAGAGGCTTTGCTGTGCTGGTACCTGTAGTCCAGCTGTTTAGGAGGCTAAGGTGGGAGAGTTGTGAGCCTGAGCAATGCACCAAGGCTGTTGTTAAACAGCAGCAGCAACAGCAGCAGCAGCAACAACAACAACAACTTCAGGGATTAACTGAAATTTCAGACAGTAACTTTATAAACATAATACTGTTCATGTCAATCTTAGGATAGAAAGTGCTGCTTTGAGAGAGGTTTCTGAGTCTACGTAACCTTCCAACAAAACTGTGTAAATTTTAAGTTAAGTACTCTGTTAAAATACACAGATAGTAAAGTAGATAATATTTAGTCAGTCTAACTATAATCTGAGTCCTATAAATACTGCTCTTAGAGAATGGAGAGGTGGCTGAGTGGTTAAGAGTGCTTGCTCTGTGGTTGAGGACCAGCCGTGAGATCTTAGCACCAACAGCACAACCAAGTGTCCTATGGATGCTTGTGTTCCCAGTTCTGATGTCAGGTGGAGGCATGGTTGCTGGGGCTTGCTGCTTTCCAACATAGCAAAGAAAATACAAACCATGGATAGAGGGGGAGTCCCCATCTTGAGGGAATAGACAGAGAGTGATGGTGAGGACATTTGATGCTCTTTTCTGGCCTCTTTTGTACAAACTTTTAACCATTCAGTCAGCGTACACACACACACACACACACACACACACACACACACATTCCACACTTTTCTGAAATGCTGGTTTTAGGTTTCTAGTTGTGAATCTTTAAGCATAGTTTGTAAAGATAAAAAATATTCAGAGCCATCAAATGGAAATCCTTCCCAATGTATTTCTTACCTTTTAATTGTAGAAGGGGGATAAAGTCACCTGGAAGGAAGTTAGAGGAGGTGGTGGAGGGGTGGGAGTGCTGTGGACATGCTGGCTGGTCACCACACTTCCGCGGGTGCAGCCATGAAGGGAACAGATGTCACATGGCACCTTCAGGACCATGATTAGTCTCTGTAGAATTTCACAGAAACACACAAGTAAGGGAAATTAAGGACGTTTTACTAAGATTCTTAGAATGCTGTTGAAAACTCACTGGCTCCGAGAGTCGGTGTCTTATAATGGGAGCTCTCTGGGGGAAGATGGACATGTAGTTACTGATGTGGGGCTAAATCCCTAGCAGTGAGTTTCCTTAGCTAGACTTTTAGGAAACCTGTCTACTCCCAAACCGGCCTTGCGAGGAACTAATTTTTCTGTTAGTCCCACTCCGCCACCTTCTAATGCAGCCTCGCTCTCAGTGTGGTGCCAGAAGAAAGCCCACAGTGCTTGTGGACTGTGATTTGGTGACCTGTACAGATCTGTGAGTGGGATGAAGGGTTTTTAAAAAGTGAGTGAAATTGTCTCCACTCCCAGCAAGCTTCCTAGCTTTCTGCCCATAATGATCTATTTTATGTGAATCGCCTTGAAAGAGATTTTAGAGACTCCTCAAGAGCAGTTTTCAGGCTTACAGCAAATCTGAGCCAAAGATTCAGGTCTCCTGGATCTCTTTTTTGCACAAACACTTACAGCCTCCCTTATCACCACCTTCATGAAGAAGAGCGCAGTTGTTGCATCCAACACTTTATTATCACCCAGAGATCATGACCCGCAAATTACTCTTGATGGTTGTGCATTCTGTGATTTTGGCAAATTCACATAACAAATGCCCACCATCAATGTCATGCAGAGTAGTTTCTGTGCCTTAAAATCCTTTATAGGAAATAAGTAATTGGGCCTGCAGAGGTATCTCAGGCAGTAAGATGCCTGTTGAGCAAGCGTGAGGACCTGAGTTCAGATCCCAGTACCCTGTGTAAAGGTGGGCAAAGCCATGCATCTATAATCCCAGCACTGGAAGGTGGACACAGATAGGTCTCTGGAGCTCACTTTTCCAGGCAGCCTAGCTGAATTTGAGTTTATATTCAGTGAGAGATCTTGTCTTGAGAAATAAGGTGGAGGGCTTTGTCCTCCTCACACATGTATTCATACACATGAAGGAAAAATACACATGCACCCCCCACCCACCCACTAAAATCTATGTTAATCAAGTGATTTAGAATTAAGAATATTAACTGGGTGGTGGCGCATGCCTTTAATCTCAGCACTTGGGAGGCAGAGGCAGGTGGCTCTTAGTGAGTTCGATGCCAGCTTGGTCTACAAAGTAAGCTCCAGGACAGCAAGGACTGTTACACAGAGAAACCCTGTCTCGAAAAACAAAAACAAACAAACAAAAAAGAATTAGAAAAACTAAAAATGTGGGTTAAAAAATTTTAAATATTGAAAAATATCTACCCATCGTAAAAACACAAAATAATAGACAGAAATGACTTCATAAACACAGCCATCCCTGCTCACAAATGGTTTACTGTTCATATATGCTCCTCGGTCTACAATCTCTGCATCCACTCAGAACTGGCACTGCCTTTTAGTCAACTGTGCAGGATGTCTGCCTTCACATTTGACTTTATGCACTTAATTCAGGTGATCTAAAATAGCACTGCCTGCCTCCTATGTTTGAAAACAAAAGTGGACTTCATTCTGCTTTTCACGAAGATGAGTGGCAGCTTTCATCTGCTTTGGGCAGGAGCTTTTGAGGATTGCTTTTGAAGTAAGAGGGATTACAAGTTCTTTTCAGAGGAGAACAACGACTGATCCCAGATATTAACCAAAGCTTCTTGAGATCCCCGCAGAAATAGATCAGGATGATGGGATTGGAAGTGGGTGAAGGATACTGTGATGGTTGGCCAACACTCTGCAGGCTCGTGTCTGTGATTGACCTCCCCTACCAACAGGATTGGCTGTTGTCTGTTCGGCATAGACTCCCATTCGAGCTCTCTACCAAAGAGATATATGGAGGTGTAGAAGGTGGTACATAGAAAACTACCAGCATTTGCTAAGGAATGTGGGAAATTAAACTGTGAAGAAAATGGGAGGATTAGAAATAACTAGCCTATATTAAAAAGTATTTGAATAATTTATCTTTTAATGACCTTGAGTTAAATAATAGTATAAGAAGAAATAGTTACTTTCACTTTCCATTAAGAATATAGTTAAAGGTTAGGGTTGTAGCTCAGTGGTAGAGCATGTGCAAAACATGTATGGAAAGCTTAGCTCAGTCAGCACCAAAAACAGAATAGGAGGAAGAAGGCAGGTGCGTGCATGCGCACGCGCGCGCGCGCGCACACACACACACACACACACACACACTCAGATACACACGCATACATACCAGATACACACATGCACTCATGTTATTTGGACTGATTTGAAAGAACCATAAGCATTTCTCAGCGACTCACGTTGGTACACATCACGATAAAGATGGATAGTGGCAGTTTGTAATGGCTGTCATCACAGACCTTCATGACACGGTAGCCATTTGTCTGTGTTTTCTGGAAGGCAGGTTGTGTGGACAGTGTTTCCCGCTCACACCTGTAATTCCATGATTGTCTTCTATATTTGTTTATATCATTGTTGGGACACTATTATTGCAAATAATTCTAATTTCACGCCTTGTCTGACTTTGTCTGTATTGCAGTAAGATACATTGCTTTTGCTTTGTGCTGATTTGTTATCTGCTTTGGGCTTTAAATGAAGCAAAGCTTCATGGGAGCCTTTTTGTGCATGTGCTCGGTGTTTTCACAATCGAGTTGTTTGGAGTTCTGATGGCCGTCTCTCTGTTGTTTCCTGCCCAGTTAATGGAACTCCCAGCAGCCAACTTTCTACTCCTAAGTCCACGAAGTCCTCCAGTTCCTCTCCAACCAGCCCAGGAAGTTTCAGAGGATTGAAGGTATGAAGGGAGAGATGTGGCCCGTTTATGTAGTCTGTTATTTGGGTGGTTTAACAGATTTGTTTGTGAGCTTGAAAAGCCTGCGCTCGAGCCTGTCATCATATCAACCAGCCTCCTTAGCAACTCTCACCGTGTTCACATTCTGTGAAAATATAAGGTTGTGATGGGTTGAACAAAATGTGGTGGAACTAAGTATTATTCTAATTCTTGTAGAGGATTGCAACAGCAAAGCACTGGACAACACTGTAATTCATCTCAAAAGACCCTCTGCAATCATGATTTTAATTTCACTAATGTATTTTGACTTTATTGAAGTCTACAACTTGGGAGAAAGATCAATATAACATTGTAGGTGGACATCTGTCCCACCAGCAGCTAAAAGGTCAGAGTCTAGACTGTTAACCGCTCTCAAGGGTTCTCTCCTAAGACACACATTTTATTCTAACTGCCTTGGGTTCTCTGCTTAAAGAGGCCAGACTGTGGATGTCCTTCTCCAATCCTACAATACCGCATATGAATGCAGCAGTTATATTCCATAGGGATGCTACAAAAACTATGCATGGCTTTGTGTCTACAAACATTCAGCTGATTAGTAGCTTTATTTCATGTAAGTTTTTCTTCTTTTAGACAAACTGACAATTAAGAATTCAATCATGGTATAAACTGGCATCATCCAATTTAATACTTCAGGAAAATGCCTTTAAAATTTTAATATACTTATTTAAAGATTTATTAGTTTATTTTTTAATGTGTATAAATGTCTCCTGTGTGTATGTCTACTGCCATGAGAACCCAGAAGAGGGTGTCATATCTCCTGGAATTGGAGTTACAAACAGTTTTGAGCTGCCAGGTGGGTGCTGGGAACCAAATCTGGGTTTTAAACAGTTCTCTAAACTGCTGAGCCATCTCTTAAGCCCCTAAAATATTTTTAATTACACCTGTTTAGTGTGTGCCTCTGTGTGTGCGTGAGTGTGTGTTTGCATGCAGAAGTCAGAGCACAAGGTGTAGGGTCAGTTCTCTTCTGCTGTTGGGGGTTCCAGTGACCAACCTCGGTCATCTGGTGTCAGGCTTCACTTGGGAAATCACCTGATCCCTCCCTCCCTTCCTTCATTTAAGACAGGGTATCATTCTGTAGCCCCAGATTGCCTGGAACTCACCATGCAAACCAGACTGGCCATGAACTTACAGCAATTCTCCTTCAATCTAAACTAACTTATAAGACTAACAACTGTTTTCATCTTATCAGCTATAACTTGCCAAAAGGGAAACTTCCCAAAGTTAGGGTTGGGGAAGAGTTTTATTTTTGTCTTTCCAGAAGAATGAAGGGATCTGAAGACCACTGAACAAATCAGACATCTAAAGAAAAAGAATGAATCAATGAGAGAAAATGTTCCAAGAAAGAGAGTAAATTGGCCTATTGGTATATCACATTTTCAACAGGATAAAATTTCATAAATCTTCCCAGATGTTTGTTTCTGCTGTTCTCTACAGACATATAGTGCAAAATGGTCTTTTTGTAGTTCTAGTCCAGTTAAAAGTTAAAGCTGGATTTGGAGTTGGAATGTGGCTTTCTCCTTCTCTAAACCCAAGCATGCTTGCTAAAAAAAAAAAAAAATACAAAATCTCTGTCTCAGGTCAAAAGAACCAACTGATATGAGACAGAAGAAAAACAAAAATTAAGGGACTTTCTGTTGCCACTAATCTCATAACTTTGATTTTGACCCTTTAAAACTTTCCTTAAGGTACAAATATCATCTCAAATTTATAAAATTAATGTATATTATATATATTAAACTTTCTGTCATGATATTAATGGTTATATAGAGTATCAGCTAATTCTAGAAAAAGGCTTCATCTAGCTTCCTGTAGATGGTTTTGGATTTGAGTCTCTATCTGGTAACTAGGAATTAAGTTTTTATACTCTGAATGTATATAATAAATTATGGTCCTTTAACCTCTTCAAGATCTGCTGCATATGACATTTAAAATGTTTAAGTTTTCAGCAGTGAAGCAAGACTGTGTGTAACAGAGACATTTGAAGTCTCCAAAAGAAGGATGTGGCCTCACAATGATGGATTTGGATTGTGGACTGTTTCAGTGGGTGTACCCATCATGGCCTTGACCTCTTTGGTCATATTCTCCTTCTTCCCACTCTTCAACTGAACTTTGGGAGATCAGGAGCTCGTGGGAGCTCACCAACACCAGCCAGACTGGGAAGGAACAAGCGTAGGACCAAACTAGTCCCTCTGAATGTGGGTGATAGTTGCATAGCTGGGGCAGACTGAGGGGCCACTGGCAATGGCACCGGGATTTATTCCTACTGCATGTACTGGCTTTTTGGGAACCTATTCTTTTGGATGGATACCTTGCTCAGCCTAGATACAGTAGGGAGGGCCTTGGACCTTCCCAAAGCAATGTGCCTTTCCCTCTCTGAGGAGTGGATGGGAGTGGGGGGAGTAAGTGGAGGAAATGGGAGGAGTGGAGGGAGTGGGAACTTGGATTGGTATGTATAATGAAAAGAGATAGTTTGTTTTCTTTTTTTAATTTATTTATTATGAATACAATATTCTGTCTGTATGCCTGAAGGCCTGAAGAGGGTGCCAGACCTCTTTACAGATGGTTGTGAGCCACCATGTGGTTGCTGGGAATTGAACTCAGGACCTTTGGAAGAGCAGGCAATGCTCTTAACCACTGAGCCATCTCTCCAGCCCCGATAGTTTGTTTTCTTAAAAAAAAAAACAAAAAGTTCAAAGAAAACACAATAATATACATAATCCAGACTCTGTAATTTTCCATCTTTATGTGCCTTTTCTTTTCCTCTATGACTTTTTAATATTTTATTATCTTTACTCCTTTAACCTATGAGTGTCAGTATTATATTTATTGTCTCTTTAAAGACTTTGTTTTATTTTTAAAAACTATTTTCTTTTTATAACTGTCTATAATCTTTTTCTTCTCTCTCCCTATGTGCATTTTTTAAACACATTATGTCTTGTTTAGAGATCTTTTATGTCTGAATCTGTCCTGTTGTATATCTGAAATCCTTTTCTGACCAGGATCTTTTTTTAAAATGGTAAGCAGTGTGGTCACGGAGGCCCCGGATGCTGGCTCCACCTCTCTCAGGCTTTCAATATGATGGAGATATGTTTACCGCCAGTTCTGGGACTGCTGGATTGGAGCCGTGCTTACACATCAACTCTGGGAAACACCATACAACACATAAACCTTTTTTTGTCAGAGTAAAACCTAAATCTGCCATGCAGCATGCTGGGCGGTCTGGAAGTGTCTCTGTGTGTGGCAGTGGGAGTTCACAATGCTCTCCTGCCTGTGCCTGCCTAACAGACCTGATCTCGTTGTTTGCCCAGAGTGTTGAGCAACTGGCATGCTTGCTTTCAGCTACTTTCTTCCTAATCCTGGGCCAAAGTGGGTGTCGGGCCATGCCAGTTAGCCCCAATTGTTTGGGCGCCATTATGTAAACAGAGACTGTGCTTTCATTTCCTGGCCACCCAGACCCAAACAATCACACAAAAACTATATTGATTACAATGCTGTTTGGCCAATGGCTCAAATGTATTTCCAGCTAGCTCTTATATCTTAAATTAACTCATTTCTATTAGTCTGTGTATCGTCATGAACCTGTGACTTACCAGTGAGGTTCTGGGTGTCTTTCTCTTTCAGCAGCTCCTTGACATCTGCCTGACTCCGCCTTCTTTCTCCTTGCATTCAGTTTAGTTTTCCTGCCTATATATACTCTTTCCTGCCATAGGCCAAAGCAGCCTCTTTATTAACCAGTGCTAATAAAATATATTCACAGCATACAGAGGGCAAGCCTGTATATTCCCGGAGAATGACACTGAATTAGGTTAGCCAGGTGCTCATAAAATCAGAACCCACAAGGCTACAGTTCTTCCTACCTTCGTCCAGTTGGGAGCAAGCATACATGCTGACCTACTTCCTGCCTATGTACCTCCCACCTATGTGTGATCAAGCACATCCTTTCCAGTTGGGGTAACCAACCTTGTTTATCTTGGATAAACAACAGCCCCCAGCATTCCGTGAAGTTACTTGTTCTTGGCAAGCAGGGCTTATAGGTTGACTTGGCCTTCACACAGTTCAGACAGGAGTCTCCTTCACAGCAGGTGTCTGGCTACCTCTCATAATCTTGGCACCAAGAGTTCTTTGCAGTGAGGCCAATTCGTGAAGGTTTACAAGGGTGCTTAGTCTCCTGGTGCTCTCGGGCTTTTTTTTTTTTCCATCCTCTAGTTGTTAAAGAATTCTGTGAATCCCTTGGCAACTAAGACCAAAGTCTTTGATCAGAGGGTTGAGGTAGAACGAGAGAAGCTAGTGTGCAGCCTTGTGGACACCTGAGTCAGCTCTCTCTGGTTTAGAGGCAGACACAGGGTATCCAGTCAGACTGTCTGGGTTTGGTGTTGATGTGGCCTGCCACTGCCTATGTGACCTTGGGCAAGTCATATGTTGCTCTTTCCTATAAAAAGAGGGTTCAGCTGGGCGGTGATGGCAAATGCCTTTAATCCCAGCACTCTGGAAGCAGAGGCAGGCAGATGTCTGTGAGTTCTAGCTAGGCCAGCGTGGTCTACAAAGTGAGTTCCAGGACACACTCCAAAAGTTACACAGAGAAACCCTGTCTCAAAAACAAAGCAAAACAAAAAAGGAGGGCTCATAGGTTGGACTGAGGCTCTGAGATAGACTCAACACTGAGAAAACACTTAGGACATCTTTGATATTCTTACTCTAACTGTGGGGTCTCTAGGTTCAGACTCACATGACGGAAATTTCAAATGGAACACGTAAGTGCACAATAGTGTGTAAGAAGGAAGGTAAACTTGGGAGAAGTCAGACTGAGTTTTTCTTTTCCTTTATTTTATGTTCTTAGAAATATTCTGGCCAAGAACCCCTAGCTCCAAGAGAGTAAAAATCCTAAGGAACATTCTTAATCCTTAAGGATCCTAAGGAACGTTCTTGGAATCCAGGAAGCTGCA